AGGCCGCGGAAAAGCAAAGAGACGGGTAGTGGTGATGCCGCGAAGAGGCGAGATGACGGGACATTGGAAGAGACAACACCCAATGGAGCTAAGAATCGCACTTCGTCAATCAAGCAACATCTGTCAGCCCGTACCAATTGTCGTGAGTTGTACAGTGATAATGTGTTCTCAATATTGTCACGTGGTAGATGTGCGTTGCATCTGGCTGTGTTAGAAGCTTTGTATATCCGTAAGTTAGATCCTGAACTTTGCGTACAGAAAGAAAATGTGTTGTCGCTACAATTGTTTGGTGTTACTCCTCGTCGAGGTGTTAACAATGTAACTTAATTTGCTCACTATGTTCTTGTCACTATTATTATTTCCTTCGAGTTTTGTGTCATGCTGAACCTGATAATTTTCCACCTTGTCACGAGTGTTGTTATCTCATATCTTTACGCTATATAAGTTTTAGTCTTTCCAACTTGAACCATTCCCTGTAAAATCCTTGATGAGAAGGGACCGAAAACGTTCGGATACTTTGACAAGTGCCCTATTTTGACTGGATGTGTGTTTGCGTGGATACTTATGACCCAACACGTACTTAGTTATTAAAATAATAATAATAATAATAATAAAAATACTTGCGGAAGCTGCGGAATAATAAAACAGGTCGCGTAATGAAGCAGCATAATGATAGATGTGCAAAGTCATGATGCCTGGTCCGCTTCTGTCCTGGGTTCACTACCCGTGCGTTGCAGCCAGGAGCAAAACCAGTTCAGGCCGAGAGTTCCCTCCATGATTGCTTGTCCAAAGCGCGCATTCTGAGCCCACTCAGATCAGTCATGGTCTTCAGTGGCATGTCTCTGGCAGCTGTGCTTGCCTTGAATGCCGTGGCCAGGTTCGATTTCGGGCGTCCACGCACACCGGTGACATCTCAACGGAAGTAGTTGTTCATTGCCTGCTGTGGTGGGGCATCTGAGGGCATCCTCAGAACATGACCCAACATCCGGAAACGGCGGATAGCAACGGTGTGCGAAAGTGGCTCTGTGTGTGCTCTGGAATATGGGTCTTTCTTGGAGATGATGGCGGTATACCTAATTCCGAACAAGTTCCGTAGTTGACGTCTATAGAAGGCGTTTAGCTTCTCCAGTGCAGCCTCTGTCAGTCTCCAGGTTTCGCAGTCGTATAACAGTGTTGGTAGGACGATGGTATTGTAGAGACGAAGCCTGGTTTCCTCGGATACAAGTTGACGTCGTATCCAGAGCGAATACATGCGGCCATACGATGTTGATGCTTGGTCGATTCGTCGGCTCAAGTCCTCATCTTCCCCCGAGAGAGAGCCAAGTTGCTTCGATCTTCGCCATTCGGTTGTGGAGGCAGAGATGTGAAGCTACTCTGTTTTGCTGCTGTTAACGTTGAGTGACCAGTCACCCAGGCCGTCAGCTATCATGGGTAGGGAGTTGGCAAGCCATTGTCGCTCAGTCGAATAGAAGGAAATGTCATCGGCATATCCTGTTTCATGTGGTATTGCTGCAGTGTCTGGCCGTGGTGGTAGTTTGCTTCGAGTCTCCGTCAGTGCTGCTTCCAGGTGGCAAACAAACAGAACCGGGCTCAGCCCATCACCCTGTGGTGTACCTAGCGTGCTAACAAACGCCTCCACTGAAGTGGCACCCACTTTCACAGAGAGTGTTGTACCATACAGCAAATGGTGAATCAGGCAAGCCTCGTCAGGTCCGGTAATCTCTAACATAACAGCAAGGAGCTTTGTGTGGCCAATGGTGTCGAAAGCTTTTGACATGTCGAGGCCACGGACGTGGCAATCCCACACGAAGTGGGTGGCTTTAGCTGAAATCCAGTGCTGTGTCCACACCACATCGGCAGTGCCACGGCCAGGCCTGAAACCAGACGAAGTGGATCCAAGATAATGCGACACACGTGTTGTGATACGTTTGAGCACAACGAGTGAAATGACCTTGCGCAGGGTGTTCAGCAATACAATCGGTCTCAGGTTTGCAACTGGTCCCCGCGCCTTGCTAGGTTTTGGTAACGGTATAAATATGCCTGGACCAATAACACTACACAGGTGGTCGCCCCTGGTGATGCTGTTGTTGATCATGGTGGTGATGATCGGGGAGATGTACTCAGCACCATATTTGAGGAGTTCCGCGCATACACCACCCGGCTCACATTTCGCAGTCGCCTCAAAGTCGCCTCTACTTCTTCGGTGGAAACGGCCGTCTCCAGTGTGTGCGGAGCTGGCGGTGGCAGCAGGTCATCAGAAGTGTTGAACTGCCCCTGATAGTGATCACGCATGCGAGATGCCTTTTCCTCATCGCGCATGAGGATGTGACCATCAGCCGACTCGACGAAGAGCTGCTGCTGCTTGCCACGTTTGAGCTGGGAGGCTGCTATAAACATTTGCGCGGAGGTTGGAGCACTCTCAACCGCCTCGGCAATTCTGTTCAGGCGAGAGTTGGCTTCAGTCAGTTGGATATTACGGATTTCATGCATGACACGATTGCGCTCCTTCTTCAGCTGCGCAGCATCATGGTGTCCGGACTCAGCTAATATCCACAGTTCTCATTGCCACAGTGAAAGCCGAGCAACCTGTGTGTTTGGTTGAACAAAACGGTTTCTAGCCTCGGATCGGTGCAGATGACCAATGGTGGTGTCTGCTGCAGACTTGATCGCAGATGTGGCAGCTGACCAGACATCAGCGGGAGCATCACTTGCCGGAGTTACTTGAAGGTATGCCCGAAGAGCCGAGCGATATTTCGGTCTACGGAAGCCATCTATTAATCCATTGACAGCATACGGCGACTCCTTTTTTGATTTTGTTTGGACGATTTTGAATAGCTCACAGAAAAGCATGTCAGCAATCGCTAGCTTGTGGTCGCTGAACACCTCTGTACCAGCATACGATCGGGCCTTGTTAATGATGGGCTTACAATGTGATGGAACCACCACATAGTCGATCATGTTGTAGATTTTTTTAGTACGATTCGTATTGCTCTCTCTAACCTGTCCAGTCCATGTTGTTCGGCAGCGCATGGAATAGCGGAATACTGTGTTGGCTAGCAACAACTGGTGAGAGTTTGCCCAGTCCACGAGCGCCTGGCCGTTTTCGTTGCGGGTCCCTTTGCTGTAATTTCCGACACACGAGGTGACAGCGCTTCCAACTTTTCTGTTGAAATCCCCACTCCGAGCACAAGCGTTCGTTGGCTCGTCCCATTCCAGGCGGAAGATAGTGTGCCGTAGAACTGGTCTCTGAGCTCAGGCTGTTCCTTCGACCTTGGGTTCGTGGGTCCATGTGCCACAACAAACCGAACTGGCTGTGATGAGTTCTTGGCTTGCAGAAACGATAGGTCAACATAGCCCTCTCGATCCGACAGTTTTTTGATTTTTTAAATGCACGGTTCGAATTTCTTTTGAAACAGCGAAGCCAATTCCGCCATGGCTGTCGCCTGTAAGGCCAAAGCTCACTAGCCTGTGAGTTTTACTAATACTTCTACTCAAAATCTCAGGAAAATCTAAGAGCTTGACTAGCCAGCCTGTTTTGGGTTTGAGGCAGCAAGCCCTATGTAGTTATGCATTGAGATTATATCTTTTGTCCTTGCACAGAACAACAAGGCCTTTGTATATACTGGACGACTTACCAACACAAGTATAATTATAGACAGTCCCGATGCAGCCACTCTCGCAGATACGCTCATTCTTTGGAATGTTTTCACAGCTACTGTAACAGAAGGATTCAGATAGGTCTGCAAGAAATCACAAGCACACACACAAATGCACACACATCAACCATGCTAATAGTCATGAAGTTGATTGTTCCAACTAGGAACACACGCTTCTTGCCGAACTTGACACTTGACAGTGACTCACGACTGCCATCCAGAGCACACGAGGAGCACATCGCACTATTACCGCCGAAGTCGCAACTTCAAAGTTCGTATTGTTGTCCCTCACGCGGACGTGCAACTTGTTGGAGGTGACAGCATTGCGAATAGCTATACAGTAAATATCGGATATAACGTGCCCCTTTGATTTTCGAAAATTTATCACTATATCCGGTGCATCACTATAGCCGATTTACATGTTTGACCGACACATGGCACATGACTGCACATGAAATGATGCGTACATGCTGGAAAAAGCATGCTGAAAGTGCATGCATGCTCCGCGGACTGAGTACCGGTGCATGACACAGAGCAGTGCATGGCAGTGCAGTACGAGTACAGACTGTACATGTACTACATGTACACCGAAGGATGTACCCAGAGTGCTTGATAGTGCTCAACACCACAAAGGCAACAAGCCTTGATTGTCCTTGTTGTTCTGTAGTGTACTACATGTACATGTAGTACTTCGATACATCATGTGGCATGGCTGCTTCTTCAGCGTGTTCTCCAAAAAAAAGCCTGAGCTGGATCCGTACTCGCGTACTCGGTGTCCAACGAGTTGCGTAGAGCCAGAAATAGACATGAGTGGCTGTGTACGTGAGTTGGCAACATCATCGTGAGAGGCAACACAGCCAGAAATGTTTTGTGATCATCACTCTTGATCATTATATGCAATATTTTCCTGTACATTTGATATGGTTTGCTTCCTGAAGTCCATCACAATAAGCGATATATCGGTATAGCCGATAATAGTGTATATAGTGATATTTTAGCTGTATTTTTTTCTGATTTGATTTTGATTTTGACGTGTTCTATCACTATAACCGGTATATCATTATATCCGGTCACTTTATAAACGATACTTACTGTACTGGCTCTCAAAGTCTGTTTAGCACAACTCCATGAGCGACTCTGACTCACGCTGCTCCCTGGAGCTTCACGAGGTGTTTGTCGCGCTGGAAACAAAGTGTCTCTGTAAGTTTGTATCCCTGGTGATGGTTTGGCCTGGAGAGCAGTATATAAGTGGTGCTTTTCAGGCACAATCTTCCTCAGCCTACTCAAGCTCAACTGATGAGGGGTAAATTCCATGAAACACTGTGTATTGAGCAGGGAGTGGTGCTTTCTTGCAGGTTTGCCGAGTGGAAGGTGCGACGTGCTCCTCGTGTGCTCTGGATGGCAGTCGTGAGTCAGTCAAGTGTCAAGTTCGGCAAGAAGCGTGTGTTCCTAGTTGGAACAATCAACTTCATGACTATTCCCACCGAAGTCGCAACTTCTAAATTCTTTCTTTTTGGTGTGTTTTATGTCGCCATGACGTCGTGACCTTAGGTCACCATCACTATGCTCCTACTATCCAGTTATTATGTTGCATTCGCCCTTGAGCTGTGATCATTGTAAAAAATATATATTGTCCTGAATATTTCCCGCACAATATTTCCGTGCTGAATGGTTTCCATGACCGCGCTCCGCATTCCTTCTTCTATGTGAGCAAACCAAGACATCTCCCTGTCTACAATGACTCGCAGAATTCTAGTTCTGGAAACTTGGGTCAGGCGCTGTTGGTTATAATACATAGGTGTTGAGAGAGGTTGAGAAGACCTAGAAATCATCAAGTTACAGTCTTTGTTGCATGAATGAACAGCCCAAGCTCATCTAGATCCTAGATCCACAGAAATTGCAAGTATCGATTCAGTGATGGTAGCGACCGCTTCAACTGGTGTACGTCGACTGGCATATAGAGTACCTCGTGCCCGTGCACATTTGTATGTGCTGGGCCGCATGGGAGGAAATCCGTGCGACAAAAAATGACCCTACCAAGCAGGTGTATGTGTACGCGAGTTCCATTGTAATTAGCACACAACATGAGCACACAGCATGAGCACACAGCGTGATTTTCAGGAGAATCCACTCAACTTACTTTCTTTAATGTAGTTCTTGACCTCCATGCTTGGGCGGAAGTCGTAGACAGCTTTCATGTAATTCCTTGGGGCTACCAGTTCACACAAATGGTGATTCAGGCGGAAATGGTTCATGTAGAAATAACTGGATGTAGAGCAAATAGTATGAAAGAAAAGAAATCATCAAGAGTAATCAGGTCTTTCAGTATAAATTTTCATTTACCCTTTCAAGCAGTGATATCATTATTATCAAGGTGCAAATTTAACTCGGACACTGAGCCAATAATTAAAATTAAAATAGAAGAAATAACATAGTTGCTTCATAACTCGTTTCCATGTGATTTCTTCTATTTTAATTATTATCAGGTTTCTTAATGATATTATTACAGGGTGCAACAGAGCTCTCGGCCACTGAAGAAAATGTGGAGTCACCTCCACCATTACACTGCGCTTTTTAGCCGACTAGACCCTCCTGCACACAACCATCACCATTGCGAGGACACTTCCGTGGACGATATTGATAAACTCCTTCAGACAGCTGTTTCGCTAATACATAGCTCATCAGTGAAGGTAGATGTTGAATGATTAAAAATATAGACCAAACTGCTATTATATAGGGGGTTTCCACATACAGTTCCCAGTGCTGCTGTATAACTGCGGCCTGTGGACCCTCACGAAGCGACAGAATGAACAGCTAGATGTATGGCAGAGAAGAAAGCTCCGTTATATCTTCGGAGTCCACTACCCACACTGCATATCCAACCAAATCCTGTATGAAAAATCAAAACAGCAACCAATCAGCAGGGTCAGCAAGAGAAGATGTCTCCTATGGTTCGGCCATGTTGTTCAGGAAGGTCCGGGCACGGCTTTTTATGGCGCACTAACCATGGCCATCGACACGTCAAAGATCAAGCGTCCACGAGGACGACCAAGGCTTCGGTGGATTGATGCGGTGAAATCCGACATCTCCCCTCTCGGACACATGCTCAAGGATTGCCTCAACACTGCACGGGACAAAAAGCTCACTATGTTTTTGTCGCTATTATTATTTCGTTCGAGTTTTGTGTCGTGCTGAACTTGATACTTTTTCCACCTTGTCACGAGTGTTGTTATCTCATATCTTTACGCTATATAAGTTTTAATCCTTGATGAGAAGGGACTGAAAACGTTCGGATACTTTGACAAGTGCCTTATTTTGACTGGATGTGTGTTTGCGTGGATACTTACGACCCAACACGCCTCCGACTTCTTGTAAAATTATTATTATTATTATCATTTCTCCTTTATTCACTTCTTTCGAAGGCGATAAGCCAGACCCACCGGGAAATATTTCCATGGGTGGGACAGCAAAAAGAAAGTGAAAAAAACAAAAAAAAAATAAATAAATAAATAAAACCTAAAGACCAAAGGGACAAGAAATAGTTGAAGGAAGAGGAAGAAAGGAAAGAAACTCAATCCGAACTCCAACATCAAAACAATAATAAAGAATTTGCAGCGACAGGCAAAATACATCAACCAATGAAGGGAGTAATAACAAAGGAAATATCAGTCTTTATCAGTCGTTATTCAAGTCTCTTAGCTATTGAACATGCAAACGCAGCAGAGGTGCATCTACATGATAAGGATAGTTCTTAGTATTTTAATCGAACCTTGTATAGCCTCCTGTTGCACAATTGCCAGGGCTCCTCCCTGCACAGTCCGAAGACATTGAGGAGTCTCCTCCACCAAGCCTCCCAGGGCACCGACAACCACAGGGACCACGTCAACCTGGGTGAGGGACCAAATCCTCGAAATCTCCCGCTTCAAATCATAATATTTCGAGCGCTTTTCAGCCATTTTCTTATTGATGTTGTTCTCACCAGGAACGCTGATGTCTATAATGTAGGCGATGCGCTCCTTGTCATCAACAAGGAGCAGATCGGGCCTTTTTGCTGATAGTTTCAGGTCAGTTGGGACCGAATACTCCCAATAGAGGCGATACCGATCACTCTTGACCAATGCCTTGAGCTGGTGGTCGAATCGTGAAGCACCAGTAGGTAGATCTCGTGCTCTACACATTTCGAAGTGCACATACTTTACTATCCGGTTATGTCGTTCAATGTAACTGGTCCGAGCAAGAACTGGGCAGGCACTGACAATGTGGTCAATTGTTTCTAAGCTGCCCTTGCAAAGCCTGCAATTGGCATCTGTTCGAGCAATTGACTTCATTATGGCGTATTGGTAATTTTTCGTTTTGAGGGATTGGTCTTGTGCTGCCATAATCATGCCTTCAGTTGAAGGTTTCAGTGTCCTTGATTACAACCACATGAAGGTAAGCTCCTTATCTAGGCGATTCTCCTCCAATCGGCTCCAATATCTCCCATGCAGCGGCATAGTGGAAAGTGTTTTGGATTTTCGCTCAGCGCACGCTTGTTTAATGGTATGCTTATTGGGTAAAGCTGGTCCAGCTGCTGGCAGATCCAAACTCGACAGGAACTTAGCGGCCTTTGCAGTTATTGAGTGGCTTTTTGTTGTAGGTTTTTGTTGATGATACTGATAAAGCAGGTTTATTCGGTCTATTGGGCTGGTACTCATGTAGCGGGCCAGGCCACACATGCTCCGGCCGTGCATATCCTCACAAGAGACCAAGCCCGGGCCTCCATCTCCCCTCTTCATGTAGAGCCTGTTGACTGAGGCTTTGGGGTGGTGAAATACAGACGCAGTCAAGGCTGATCTTGTTGCTCGATCTGTGGTCTTGATTTCAGCCTCGGTCCAATTTACGATTCCATAACTATATGCCATAACAGGCAGAGCATACGTATTGATGGCCTTGATCAAGTTTCGAGCATTCAATCCACTGTTAAGAAGCAAATACAATCTCTTTTTGTATTCGGCAGTGAGTTGCGTCTTGAGCTGCGGGTGAGGTATCATGACTGCTTGCACTACTCCAAGGTACTTGTATGTTTCATTGAGTCGTAGCGACTCTGCAATGGTCTCATCGCCAACCTGGATAGAGCATCCTTCATCTGGTTTTCCTCTCCTGACGTTCAGCACGGCACACTTGGCCGGGTTGAGATTCATGCCGATGTCATCACCAACGCCACACACGGTAGACACGAGGGTAGTCACATCCTTTGTAGTTTTCCCGTAGAGTTTAATGTCGTCCATGTACCAAGAGTGATTGATAGACAACTCGGCGTCTCTGCAGCTCACTCTGTATCCCAAAGGCAATCGGTTGAGCTCAAAACTGATTGGGTTTAGCGCCAGGTAAAACAGTAACGGGGATAATGTGTCACCTTGAAATATGCCTCTTCTTATAGAAATGTTGCCGGTAGTGACCCTGCATCTTCCCTGGTCGCATATGTGCATTGTCGTTCTCCAGTTCTGCATGCTACGAGCAATAGTTGTGACCAAAGAGGGGTGGAATCGATACATCGTCAAAGCATGTAGAATCCATTCATGCGACACGCTATCAAACGCCTTTTTGAAGTCCAGGTATGCCATGACCAGATTTCGCCCTTTCGTATGGGCATCCTCCAGAATCATTTTGTTGGCTTTTTTGGCCATTTCATTTATTATTATTATTATTATTTTAAAACGAAGGTAAGTTATGGGTCGCAAATATCCACGCAAACACACATCCAGTCATAATAAGGCACTTGTCATAAGTATCCGAACGTTTTCGGTCCCTTCTCATCAAGGATTATACAGGGAATGGCTCAAGCTGGAAAGACTAAAACTTATATAGTGTAAAGATGATTAGATAACAACACTCGTGACAAGGTGGAAAATTATCAAGTTTAGCACGACACAAAACTCGAAAGAAAATAATAATAGTGACAACAACATAGTGAGCAAATTAAGTTACATTGTTACCACCTCGACGAGGAGTAACACCAAACAATTGTAGCGACAACACATTTTCTTTCTGTATGCAAAGTTCAGGATTTAACTTACGGATATACAAAGCTTCTAACACAGCCAAATGTAACGCACATCTACCACGTGACAATATTGAGAAAACATTATCACTGTACAACTCACGACAATTGGTACGGGCTGACAGATGTTGCTTGATTGACGAAGTGCGATTCTTAGCTCCATTGGGTGTTGTCTCCTCCAATGTCCCGTCATCTCGCCTCTTCGTGGCATCACCACTATCTGTCTCTTCGCGTTTCCTTGGCCTTCCACGTTTCTTGACACTAACCGTTGGGTGCGCGATACCTGGTGTCCTATCCGTTACGTCTCCTCCATTGCGGATTTCTATTGAGCTTCTTACTCCAACTTGTCCGGTGTCCGATATTGAGGTTAGTTTTCGCGGGACGGGACATTGGAGGAGACAACACCCAATGGAGCTAAGAATCGCACTTCGTCAATCAAGCAACATCTGCCAGCCCGTACCAATTGTCGTGAGTTGTACAGTGATAATGTTTTCTCAATATTGTCATGTGGTAGATGTGCGTTACATTTGGCTGTGTTAGAAGCTTTGTATATCCGTAAGTTAGATCCTGAACTTTGCGTACAGAAAGAAAATGTGTTGTCGCTACAATTGTTTGGTGTTACTCCTCGTCGAGGTGGTAACAATGTAACTTAATTTGCTCACTATGTTGTTGTCACTATTATTATTTTCTTTCAAGTTTTGTGTCGTGCTAAACTTGATAATTTTCCACCTTGTCACGAGTGTTGTTATCTAATCATCTTTACACTATATAAGTTTTAGTCTTTCCAGCTTGAGCCATTCCCTGTATAATCCTTGATGAGAAGGGACCGAAAACGTTCGGATACTTATGACAAGTGCCTTATTATGACTGGATGTGTGTTTGCGTGGATATTTGCGACCCATAACTTACCTTCGTTTTAAAGTATTATCCGCCTCCGACCTCTTTTAAAAAATTATTATTATTATTATTATTATTAACTGGTTCGAGGGAAAGAGACAAACGGGAAAAGTCTGAAGAAAAAATTGACCGTCACCACCAGGACTCGAACCAGGGACCTTCGCTTGTAGCCAGCGATGCTCTAACCACTGGGGCTATGGTGTAGTCGTCATCCCAGCAGAGGCCGTTCAACATTTTTTTCAGACTTCGTATTATTATTATTATTTGAAACTCGGGTATTGAGCCAATAATAAAAGTAGAAAGGAAAAGGACATATGGAAACGAGTTATGAGTAACTATCCACCTCTGTAACTAGATACTATATACAGTCAGAAAGTGCAACAACTAGGCACAAAACTGACAGAGTACTGTGACATTCGACGTCCTGACACCTTTCTACTTTTATTATTATTATCATTCCACATACAAAACTGGCATAGCTGAGGTGATAACGCGGGAAAAGGAAAGTGTGAAGTACTGTTGACGCGCATTGGACATGCATGCAGTATCGGAAATTCGGCGCGGAAAATCAATCACTTTTCGATGCAGAAATAACGTGGCAGAATCAGAGTACTATGTAGCTAGCGAGAGTCTGTGTACTAGTATTGCAGTTGTCCGAGCGCCATGAAAGCCTGCGAACGCACCTCACGACCCGCCGACGTCGACAGTCACAGCAGCCCCTGACAGTCACAGCAGCCCCTGGGGCATGACACTGTAGTGCTCGCCCGTCGCGCCAAGACGCTTGGCAGTCACTAGGCTTCATGCCACCGATGTTGTCCGCAAGCTACCTTGTTATCTGCCCACTGCCGCTGACACGCTGGGAGGCCCCGCGGCATTCGCCCAGTATATCGTCGTCAGAGCTGTGTCGACGGTACAATAACGCTGGTAGAAACAAACAGTTGGTTGAATGGTATTGCATCCTCCGGATTGTCCCTTGACTCGTCTTGTCCCTTTTCTTGCTCTGACGCTAACGGCGCACGTATCATATTATTAGAGGTTGGAGGGGACGCGCTGACCGTACGTTAGGTAAAAATTGTAACATTTCAAAAAAACCTTTGTACAATATCCCTTCAGCTGGTTCTGTTCATTGCAATCAGTAAATTGGTGCTCAAAGAAGAAAATTAAATAATGAGCAAAGACGCTATACATGTAATGTCCACTAACACCTGCAGCTACAATCAGCTCAGGCAATAACAGTTGCCAACACTGACCATGCTACTGACATTCCACAACTAACCGCCACTCAGCTCTAACACATCTCGGATGCGCAATCAGCTCTAGCACGTCATGGAGGCGCACTCCAACTTGGCCCCACCGTGGGGCACAAGCTATGTGTAGTCCACAAACTAAACCAGATTTTGAACAGTCAGACGTGCGCAAGGTAGCACCAGGCTGACAAGGAGTACTGAGACATTCCACGGCAAGGAAGTGAGCTCTCGATGGTGCTTACCTTCCCCATCTCTTTGGAATTATCAGTAATACCATGACCCTTTGCAAGTTGGAAGGTCGTTGGTTAACACTATCGAGCAGTCCTCAAGCTCACTTCCTAAAAATTAATTTGTTCTTAACCTTGTCCATCGAGCAAAGCGGATTTGCTCACTGGGAAAACTGGATACGGCTTTTAATTTTTTGGAGTCCGTCATAGTTTAGCGGCACAGCGAGATTTCTCCTAAAAACATTGTGCTTCTCAATCCACGTTCACAATACTTACACACTGCGAATTATAGGATTGTGTGTGAAAAGACCCGACGGCAGCTCACTAAGTAAAGTATTGCTCAGATACCTGTGTGACAAAGTAATAGAGACAACAATAAAAGGTCTCTTAGTGATAACACTGCTCAGCTGAATGTCTATGGACACAATGCTTTTATGCACAGAATGATGGAGTGATGCCTCCTCTTCAATTTGTTATAATTTTTAGGAATCGATCGTGGCGCTGTGGCAGCATAGGTGATGACAGCCATCGCAAGCGAAACTGAAATACCACTTCTCCGAGGGCAAAATGAACTGCTTGGCCTCTCTAGCAATGAGTTTGAGAGTGATAGAGGTGTGGAATGGAGCAGCGGTCCCACACAATGACCAAGTGAACAAGCAGCTGCTCCGATCACACGGCACAATGAAATAATTCTGAATTCAAGTTCTTGTTCAGCCTGCGATTCGAATTCTGATGACCATACATTCTTTAGAAGTCTGCAGTCCGATGCCAGTCAGTGCTGGCAGAAGGATTCGTCAGAGAAAATGGATTCAGTATGGCTGTGCCTTTAATCCTCATTTCTCAGAGAGTAGAGGCGAAACCAGGGAGTCATAAAATAATCTACGACTCTCTGTTGGAAACGAGTGATCGCCACAGATCACGCAGGTAGAAAGCCAACTTGAATGACGGCGGTATCACCAAGGTTCAGTGGAGTGTGATCAAAGAAGCCGAGGCAAGGCTGAAAAGAGCTGACCCACCACTCGATTGAGATGACGACTCATGTGCAGCACATGACAACAGCGACGCAGAGTCAAAAATGAGTCCAGCGAACGCGATGCAAACTGAGCTCTCTGCTCATTCCGCCAACAGTTTCTCTTGGACAGACGCTGAACATTGGCTGCACATAGGCTGAACTACCTTCGTCGAGTAATTTACAGTCAATACCAAACTGTTCTTGAACTGTTCTAAACGTTTTCATATCCATCAAAATCCATCACGAAGTTTTTGTTAATGGAGAAAGCAGATCTAAAATTGTTTTTGTGGTTCTAAAATCACTTTTGTCACTCACTCGTTTCACATTATACATGCTAACTCGCACACGTTTGGCACTGAATTTGAGGTTTGAACCTTGAACTGTTAGGCATGAGCTGTAACGTTGATCTACTGTTTTTTTTATCACACTTCCAACAATGATTCTTTCTTTTTCTTCTGGAATATATCCACCTCAGTTCCGTATACAGGTCGTCCCTCGTTAATACATAATCTCTGGGACTTGACAAATGTTATGTATTAACGGGGTTTATGTACTAAACGAAAGTGTACATAACTTGCTTCTATACTAGAATTTTTCACTTTTTTCAACTTTTCTGAGTGTTTCTTGCTGCCATGACTAGGGAGCGAGATATTCTTGATTCCCTCGATATAACATAAAAATTATGTTATAACGGTCACAGTCAGCGAAGATTCTACAGTTTACATGATACATGCCCAGCCGCGCCTGTACAGTCACTCGGAAAAAAACAGTGCTTTGTTAGTTTGTGATGTGCGCTCTGATTTCTGAGCTAATTGCGTCCACAAGTAGAAACTCGAACACGACGTGCCTCCACTGGAAGGCCAAAAGACCAACAAATTATGTACTATTGAGGTAGGTGGCATGCGGGTACGGAGAAATGTTATGTACTAACGGGGTTTATGTACTAACAAATTATGTACTAACCGACAAAATTTGTATGGAAGTGACCACGTTTCGTCCGGGACTTGAGATTTCTTATGTACTAACGGGATTTATGTACTAACCGGACTCGTATTAACGGGGGACGACCTGTATTCCTTTTAGAATAACAGTTCTCCACCACAGATAATCATGATTAGGATTACGAGTGGCCAGAAGTGCTGCATTGAAGCCAAAGGTCTGAACTGTCACCCTTTTGCTCAGTATGCTATAAGATGTTGTTGTTGTGCTTATTTTAATTCGCGGTTCAAACGGGCAAACATGCACAATTACAGGATGGTACTTCAGACTGAGAAAGTTGGCAGTAGTATCTACAGATGTATCATAGTAGTATATATACTCAATCTGCGGACAGCATGCTGTTTCGTTCTTTGTGAACTCATCAGTGCAGCACAGAGGAAATGAGGCCGAACCTGATAGCAATGAAAATAAACAATTTCCAATCAGGCCCGAACGTACCTTGCCAGAGTGTTCAAACTGAATAGTAAATAGTAGTAAATAGTATCTTATTATAAGAAAGGGTTTGCTCCCCACCCTGGAGCTCGAGCTATTCCGCACCACGTATATAGGCTCTCCAGGCACAAACATCACCAGGGATACAAACTTACAGAGACGCTCCATTTCCAGCGCGACAAACACCTGGTGAACACCAGCCTGCTCTTCAGGCACAATCTTCCTCAGGCTACTCAAGCTCAACTGATGAGGGGTGAATTCCCCGAAACACTGTGTATTGAGCAGGGAGTGGTGCTTTCTTGCAGGTTTGCCGAGTCGAAGGTTCGATGGACTTCTCGTGTGCTCTGGATGGCAGTCGTGAGTCAGTCAAGTGTCAAGTAAAGTCGGCGGAATAGTGCGAGCTCCAGTGTAGGGAGCAAACCCTTTCTTACAAATCATCGCCGAAGTCGCAACCACTACTTCGTAGTATATATTAAACATATTTAATAATAATAGTTACAGTTCGCATTTCACTCATGGAAGGATCCACAGGCTTAACGCATCTGTCAACGAAATCCAGGCAGAAGAGCCAACAAAAGGCATCTCATTGTTGTTAGAACGTATCGCAGTAAGAACAACTACGCAGTATGCTTACAGCAAATAGCAGTGCCATCTTGGACCTTTTTCTCCGTGCGTTAAAACTCAGCACGTCTCTTACCTCAAAGCGTGGAATTAATTATATTCTCTGTATAAACCGTGGTTTCAAATTAACTAATTTTAGCTGTTCAGTATTCTCAGTCTTCACTGTAATAAACGGTCAAAACAGCGCTGAATGGAGGAAATTCTATTTGCCAATGTCCACAACTTGCAGTCATGTTACTGGTGTCAATGAGGGCGGCCAGGGAGCGCGGGTGGGGGACGTGGAACTGATTAATTGAACAGGCCAAAAGCTGCTGCTTTCCGTCAAGTTAATCCCTGCACCGGTTTAAAGCCTGTACTTGCGCTCACTGCCCGTGTACACGCCCAGGTGCCCAGTGTCAACACCCTTGTCCCGTTCTCTAGCCCACCTACGTGTAAACACCCGGGGGCGAAAGCACAGGTCCATTGCACAGTGCAATGCATGCACAGGTTCCTGTGTACGTACGGTACTGTAGTATAACTTAGTGCACAATACACTGTGTTATCCGGATTTGTACATGCAGTAGCACAGGCTGATGGGAAAATAAGTCTGATTTCAGTTATCCGAATGAACGGCCGGCCCACATTAGCGTCCAGGCCCAAATTGACGCCTGTGTTCTGGACTTTCACAAACGTTTCCGCCCAGTGCCTTCTTGGGGTATTTATGGTACCCTTGCTTGAATTCTCTCTCAATCCAAACATGATCGACATCTTCTGCTCTTGTAGTTTCGGCTGAGGCATCCATTTCGCAGCACTGACTCATAAACATGCCCTGCCGTGTAGTATTATTATGAATACGTACATGTATTTAGCTCCTCATTGACTTTTTACCAGGCGTGGGCCATCCCCTGATTTCATAAATGCCAAACATTATACGTTTTTCATTCACTAACATGCATTTCGTCTACAGTCGTACATCAAATTAAAACATCATAGATCTCTAGTTGTTGTGAACCCTCTGGTTCTCTAAAGTATCAGGAACGAACGACCCCACACGGCACGAGGACAACTATTTATTCTCAACAGTATATTTCACTTCCATCGACTAATAACAATGAACAATGACTGAATGACTGAATGAACAACTGAATGAACTGAAACAACTGAATAACTAACACTAAAACCACCAGGTAGTTATAGCGTGAAAATGACAGCGTATATGAGAAAAGCATACACATACAACATACAACTACAGCGCACTCAGCAAACCGCACATAGCGCATGTAGCGTATACTACGTCGTAAACATCAACAGTACGGCGGAGTCGGCATACAGCTGCATTGAAACGAACACAATGTCACAAGCGAGAAGGCCTTTCACTCTCGAGAACTTGTCGTTTCACAACACTAGTCATTGATGGATCCTTGGTTGGAATACTTACAGGGAGTCGAGTTTCGGATTACTTCTGAACAGGCCTGATGGCAATTCTCTCAGTTTATTATTACATATATTACTGCATCAGCACAAAAAAGGCAGAACGAAATATTTATCGACAGTAAAGAAAAAAGGACCAAGAAACCACAAAGAAAATTCACGGTTCGCGTGAGACTCGGCTAGAGGCCGTGTTTTCCGCATCCGTAGGAACGCCACCACCCTTCAAGGATCAAGGTGCATATGCGGAGGGAGGTGAGTAGATCAGCTCACCAGCATGTGGTCAAAGACCGAAACCACAAGTTACGCTATATAATGTCCACTGGCACCACCAGCTACTAAACAATCAGCTCATGCGATAACATTGCACGACACTGACCGACTGTACTGACATTCTACAACTAACTGACTAACAGCTCTAGTACATTTTGGATGCGCACTCCGCCAGCCTTCAAACTTGGAAGGTTCTAAGTAACAAAAAGAAATAACTTATTTCCTCCGCGTTATTAAAATTGTCGCTTCCCAGAGCGATTTTTCAAATTTATTGTGTCCACTCGAAGGGCAAATAAATCCGCTAGAAATCGAGGCAGAGCATTGTCAACGAACCAAGCTTTAGCTTGTGCCCCCCCCCCCCCGACCCCCCCCCCCTCCCTCGCTGCACTTGTAGCTAAGGTCTACCTCTTCATCAGAGTTTGAGGCAGGCTCTTCAGCACTCAACAATATGCTGAACAAGACGTGCGTTCAAATTCAGGTCAAGAAACCTCGTTTTCAAGCGATCCGCATGCCTCCAAGTGGCAGGCGATGATGGCTAACTAGAATTTTTCAAGCACACTCAATGACTGTAACGACCTTCCAGCAGGATAGGGTAAGCAGTTCCGCACTTCCTTTCCTCGGAAAGCGATTCGCTGATTTTCTTTGTTTTTCAGACCTGCTACCTTCGCAGCAACATGCGTGCGGCACATTTAGCCCACTTTAGGAATTTGAGAACACATTGTTCTTGCCATCGTAAACTTCAGCATTTCTAATTCAGGAGAGATACCAGGATTCTTACACTCGAGCTTGATGTCTTGATAAATGCCCTCGCGAACTAAGTGGGACGGCATGAACTCCAGAAAGACGATAAGTGCTCTGGGGCGAAATAGTGCGGACAACAATGGATTTTTTAGTGCGGAAGAGAGCTCCGAGACCACCACGGCTTCAGTAACAAGTAGACATTGCGCAGGAAGAGTTGCACCAATGTTTGAACATAGAAAGCAGTGATTCTGACAGCCTGACTAAAGACGAACAAGTCACAAACATTGCGATGTGCGAAGTGACAGTTTTAATGAAGCGGAGGAAGTTGAACCTTCCAAGTTGGAAGGCTGTTGGAGTGCGCATCCAAAATATGTTACAGATGTTAACCAGTTAGTTGTAGAACGTCAGTACCGTCGGTCAGTGCCGTGCAATGCTATCGCATGAGCTGATTGTTTAGTAACTGGTGGTGTTAGTGGACATTATAGCGTAACTTGTAGTTCCTTGGTCCTTTTTCGTTGCTATAAAGTTATCCTTGGCTCTCCATCCGAAATATTTATCCATTGCTCGTAAGAAAAGATCCAAACGTGAAAAATCTGAAAATTGACTGTCACCAGCAGGACACAAATATACGATACCTATTACAAGGAGGAAAACTTCCTTCAGCCAATACCTATTACTGTTGTTGCCCTTTGCATCTCATCCATACATCTTCACAACACTTTCCATTATGGTCTCCGGGCTACACCAATCACTAAAATAAAAAGAGATATTAAATCATAAGAAAGAAAAAGGACCAAAGAGCTAAAAGTTCCGCTACAATGTCCAATAACACCACCAGTTATATACCAGTCAGATATTAAATCATGCCACTATAGACACTGAAGCAAGTCCTGCCAATCGGTGATATACTGCTGGTGCCATCGAAATGAAATTACCGTTATTCAATTCTCCAACTTTGAGTGGCTTTATCTCTGTGCCAGGTTATTCTTTTTGCTTCAAAAATTCTGTGGAGTCTTCCTAAACCTATCTGAATCGGATACATGAAAGAAATACGAGTATTTCTGGTTTTGAAAAATGCGCCTGAAGTCAGCGGCCTACTACTTGGTCCGACTTATTAAAATGTGCGCTTCGCTTAAAAACTCAAGCCTATGTCCAAAGGAGCACCTGTACTAAAAAATCGACCAAGAGGCGGTAGATAGATAACTACTGTGTCGTTTCTTGGCCTGACTTTCTAGTTTTCATCTCTGCTGGTGTCTCAGGGCGCTTCTTCAAGTGCGTCAACCTGCAAAAAGTCGACATTTTTTCATCTCCTCCAAGCTACACTGCGCTTCCTTGATTTTTTCACTCCATAGGCACAATTTAGACGATCGACTTCGCCTCCTCCTTGTGCAGTACAACTGCCAGAATGGTGGATGTAGGTGTTTTCGCCTGACGCTCCCACAACACTTTCAAATGAGGCGAACAAGTAAACCGCCACGAATAAAAAAATCACTTCTCATCACCGTGTGCCGCGCGCGTAGAACTACTGAGTCTGATCTGTGTCGACATGACTGTCACACAGTCAGCTGCATCAGACCATGCGTGCTTCTCCCTGCCTGTTTCGCGAATCCACTGGCCCCGGAGGCTGGCGATCTTGTGACGCATCGCGATTGCGGCTCCGAGGAGTCGGCGAGGACTCCGCACCATTCACGCACCGTATTCACCCTTTCTGCACTTCAGTTTTCCAGCCAGGTTGTAGCCTGAAAGTCGACCTCAACTTCAAGGGCGGTTGTTTATATCGATCAACTTCTCGACGATCTCTTCTGTGATTTTGATTCGTCGGCCGCCACATCGTGAATGAATGCGAGAGAGATCAGCACAAACTGGACGGAGCGATGCAGGTGCTTTCTGCACGAGTTTCTGAATGACGCGTTTGCTGAACTTGATTCTTCCAAGGAAACAGCGACTGCAGCGATTTCAATCTGCCAGGAAGCACTCGAGAACGATCGCCCAGGGGTTTCTGGTACTCCGTGACAATTCCCCATCGCAGTGGGGTGTTGATTTCAGCACCAGGCCTTCTCTGTGTAGCGCGAGAAGCAACAGGAGTCCTCTGACGACAAAATTTGCACGCAAAATGCTCGAGTCGACTAGGATCCTGAGGCTCTGCCTACTTTGGGGTTGGAACCATTTCTTCTTCAACATCACAAATCGACAACTGAAGGATAGTGTTAGGTAGCTGGAAAGTTTGTTCCGTCCTGAGATTATTTGAATTAGTTTGGCTGACGTTCGAAGCGAAACGCACATTTTAATAAGTCGGACCAAGTAGTACTATAATGCTTATAGGAAACAGCCAATGAGCAAGTGAGAGAACAATGTTATTGCTTCTAAGTTACTTACAGAGATCGAAGGTGGGGACAATCTGTCAGCAGATCTTCGGGCAAAGCAGTCAGGCGATTACCAGGGAGGCTTCTGTATAATCAAAAATTGAATGAGAAATGTTCACAAATCGATACGGAACATCACCAAACAATTGTAGAGACAACACACTTTCTTTCTGAACACACAGCTCAGGATCCAACTTACGTATGTACAACACTTTCTAACAGTGTGAACAATGCCACATAATTTGTTCACCGTGATGTTCTCAAGAAAAGGTGTTTGTCAACAGACAACCGCTCTATTCAGTTGCTATTCACAATCGCCGGTTGCGCTGGATGAAACATTCTTTATTGTGGTGTCGAAAAATTGTCATGTTTCCAGCCAGTCACCCATCATCAGACGTCCACCTCTTTCTTATGGTGTTCTCGTTGTGTTATTTCCCCTAAAACGTGTTCAAATTCTGCCTTGTTTTAAAAGAATGTTGTATCTCAGTTCATTTAAGCTATAAGTTGCAGTCATTTTTTCATGTAAAAAAGAGTTAGAAAATACATGAGAACGAGTTATGCAGCAACTATCACCGACTGTAACAATCTGATAAAGAGTCAGAATGTGCGATAATAGACGCACAACTGACAGGCTACTGTGCCTCCTCCGCGTCATCGAAATTGTCGCAGTTTGACTAGTGACTTGTCACTTGTTACTGACAACTCCATAAGCTAAACGATTCAAAACTTATTACACAGTATGATAGTCTGAAGACAAGAGTAACGGTCCAGGACAGTTGGATTGAGAGTCTTCACGCAGAGATGAAGTCCTTGTCGTCGCTGATGTCAATGGACGGAAAAATATCTCTCCGAAATATTTCAAGGAAGGTTGAAAGTTGGTCGCGCCTCATCTCAAACGCTTTGACTTTCTCCACAGAACAAGAGCTGCTATGCTTGTCATCTGCTAACTCTGGATGATCTCTACTTCACCACCAACGAAGCCTAGTAAGAATACACGATCGTTGCGAGGTCGGTTGATTACCGTCAGCGGAATCACCTCGATCTTGAAATGAACTTTTTGTAGCCGTGGCATGCCATATATTTTAGCTGTGTGGTCACAGCTCAGAGTCATGCAGGTAAGTGTACTGTCACGTCCAGCCCACCCTCTTTTTCGGCGTCACTGGTACGGCACCTGCGCTTGCATCACTAGCACTACGTGTAAAGTCTACACGGCTCTTGCAGGTACAATCATGTACTGAATGTCTCAGCCAAAGCGACAAATTTTATCGCTGTTGCATACATTTAGTTTCCTGACCCCTCGATGTTTCTCCAAGCGCTGGCACTTGTTCCACGAAGTCATTCTCACCCCAGCTATGGTAAAACAGTGATGAGGCTTGAATGAATGGCCATAAGCGCGAGAAATGTGCAGGCTACAATGCCTGACTGATCTCAGCGAGTCGAAATTACCATCGCAGCAACATCAGTGAAGAAATTGCGTCTAGTTCGAAAATTTCAGCTTCCAATAACATAAAATAGAACTTTGCCGTCACCCTATACTGATGACTATCGCCTATGTCCGATTCCTTGACTCTGGTACGAGTGCTGGTGAGTAAATACTCCGTTTTATATCAAAAGTCAAAACTGCAACAATTTCGATGACACGGAGGAAGTACTTCTTTCTCCTTTTACATTTATTACTGGCTCAGTATCCGAGTTAAAATGTTCACACCTGACGAGCCGTCATTATTTCATGTTAGCCATTGCCTATGCAATCCTGAAGAGAAGGGAATGAAGACGTTTGATACCTGATATGAAAAGGCGACGAGGAGACAATAACTTTATTAATGCGATTAATAGTATAAGTGAAGCGGACATTACAAAATGATGAATGAGAATACATGTATCTAAAATGGTTGTTCCTAATCGATTTTCTTGAGACTATCATCAGGGAAAATCGTCTCACAATAGAGGCTATACGGAGAAACAAACTACTTATAGGTTAATGGATAGTGGGAAGTATACAAGGTGAGGTGTGAAAAAAAAACTAAAGTGGGAGAGAAGACGAAAGAAATTAGAAGAAAAGATGTGAGAGTGTTCTGACGGTGTGAGCTACTACAAAAGGTGAGTGAAATGAAGGCGTGGAAGCAGGTAAATGTGATAGAGTGAGGAACTGTGAGGTGTAGGTGTATGCGAATGAATACGTGTGTGAATGCTAGGTGAATTTCTTCTAATTTCTTTCGTCTTCTCTCCCACTTTAGTTTTTTTTTTCACACCTCACCTTGTATACTTCCCACTATCCATTAACCTATAAGTAGTTTGTTTCTCCGTATAGCCTCTATTGTGAGACGATTTTCCCTGATGATAGTCTCAAGAAAATCGATTAGGAACAACCATTTTAGATACATGTATTCTCATTCATCATTTTGTAATGTCCGCTTCACTTATACTATTAATCGCATTGATACCTGATATGAAGTGTTTTCTGTACTGGATGCATGGAATGCGCAGACACATGCGAGCTTGACTGCGCATTTAGCTGTACGTATAGATTATACACTGGTTAGGAGGTCTTTACCGGATATATAGACCGAGTAAAAGACCGACCATGGGGTGACGGCCATGGATGGAGGTTCCTCCTCGGATCCTCCACAACAGTCTGCACAACGGTTTGGGCTAAACAATGAGTTTAGGGTCGCTACGTTCAACATACGAGGACTCACTGCGCCATGGAAGAGGCACTCGCTCGAACGAGACCTGAAGCGGTATCGAGTTGATGTTTGTGCAGTCCAAGAAACAAAAATTTGTGAAGCAAATTGTACCGTGTTACCGCTGGGGTACCGGCTCATAACGTTCGCTCAGGACCATGGATATCAGCGAGGAGTAGGCATTGTCGTCGCTCCTCGTCTGGACCCGTTCCTGTCAAGATACTGGAGCGTTGGTGAGAGAATTGGTGTTGCGGAATTTGTTTTCCCTTGCAACAAAAATAATAGTAATTGTAAACCAACTCACAACACGGTACGTGTCATAAGTGCATATGGCCCTACCGCTGTTTCCTGAGAAGGGAACCCATCACTGAGAGAGGAGTTCTACAGCGCTTTGTCGACTGTATGGAAAGATACAACGAGAAGCGGAGTTCTATGCTTCATCGCTGGAGACTTCAACAGCAAAGTTGGAATTCGTAAGAGAGCTGATGAAAGTAAATGGCTAGGCTCCTTCAGCAGAGGCGCCAGAAATGATAACGGACAACACATGTTGGAATGGTCAATTGAAAATGATGCCTTCTTGGCCAATACAGCTTTTCAACACCGCCAGAGCCACCGCACTACATGGACGGGTTGGCGGCGACCTGGGAGTGGAGAAGTTGGCCCACAACCTGTCTACAACCAGATCGATTTTGTTCTTTGCCGTACGCAACACAAGCCACTGCTGTGTAATGCACGTAGCTATGCAGGCTGCGAGACACCAACGGACCACAGAATAGTCATTGCCACACTGCAGCTTCGTGCGTTATTTCCAATCTGGTGGAAGGGAAACCAGACAACTAAGCGTAGCTTCAACACCTCGATGTTTACTCAGAACCCCCAGGTCTGTAGTCAATTCCAGGAGGAGGTAGACAAAGCACTGGCAACGCAACAAACGCAGCAGGGAACTGTTTCAGCTGAGGCGCGTTTCGGAGGTGTGAGGGATGCACTGGAGTCGGCTGCAACAAAAACAGTTGGATATAAAAAGAGAGCCGAATGTAGCCGAAAAGCCCATGATCCTGGCATAGCCCTTCTATCAGCACAACAAAAAGAACTGCGGGTAAAAATCGACTCGACAAAATGCCCAGACGGGAGGAAATCACTGAAACGCGATCGGAATCAGATATTACACCAGATACGAGATATCGCCCGGAACAACTCTGAAGCCCGCCTGGACTCCTTCGCTCAAGAAGTAGAGAAGCTGAAAAACAATGCAAGGGTCTTTCAAGCAGCCTCTTTGCTGCGGCGGCAGTCTCCCGCGCCATTGGTTGTTCATGAAGCTCTTGGACGGATAATCGCCAACGATAAAGAAGCGGCAGAGAAGGTAGCTGACCACTTCAGGCAGCAGTTTCGGGATCCATCTGCAGTAAATGATATTCTGAGACCGCTGGGCTCGAAGTATCTTGAAGATAGGATCAGCGCTGCGGAGGTTGCACTGGCAATTAGATTACTCAAATCGCAGAGGGCAGGTGGGCCGGATGGCATCCCCGGCGACCTGTTCAAGCATGCTGGTGAGAGGATCGCACATGAGATCGCTGCCATTCTAAACCAATGTTTTGCGGATGGCAGTGGAATGGATCTTGGATGTGGAACACTAATCCCGCTCCCGAAACCAGGGAAACCCAGAGGGCCGCTAACCAGTATCAGGCCAATAATACTCTTGAACTCTATACGCAAATGCCTGTCAACAATCACACTTCGCAGGATTATGCCAAAGATTGACTCCTACCTATCTCCAACCCAGAGCGCTTCCCGTCCGGGTCGGAGTACCGCGGATATTGTCTGGTGTGGCCGGTGGCTGGCAGCCAAGGCTGAACGTTTCAAGTGGCAATGTACGGTCCTCGGAATGGATATGAGCAAGGCGTTCGACACAGTACAGCGGGGGAGATTGGTGGAGGTAATGAAACAAATAGTTAACACAGATGAGGTACGAATGGTGGAGATGTTGTTGCACAACACAAGGCTAAGAGTGAAGATAAAGAATGCGCTCTCGGCAGAATTTCCAACATCAATAGGCATCCCACAAGGAGATAGTTTGTCGCCGGTGCTATTCACCTGTTATCTCGAAGCGACAATGCGTTGCCTGCGTCCCAGGATATCGCCAAGACCTGCCATACTGAATATTGGAGGGACAGCCTACACGACTGTCGATATGTCCATACCTTGCGAAACAGCATACATGGACGACGTTAACCTGTACTCCACGGACCGTCAACATCTAGCGTGCGCACTAACAGAGGCAGAGGTAGTTTTCAAAGAGTGGAACCTCAACATCAACCCTACCAAGACCGAGTGGACCCATCTATACCAAGAAGAGGCTGTTGCAAGAAGAGGTGAGGAACGATGGAGGTCCACCCGGTTGCTT